AAAAAGATGCTGAGCGGAGGGGAAGAGAGAAGGGGGAGTGCAAGGAGTAGATGGAGGAAGTGCATATAGGTGCATATTCCCTGGCGTAAAATTTTGTACTAAAATAATTGCCCAAATGTGTAGTGCGGATCTGAGTTATTTGGTTTTCTTTTCCTTATATTTTTTTCTGATGCTGTTCTACCGCCAATTTTAACGCTAGACGATGTCCTTGTCGTCTGTACGACTTGTACCTTCATCGGTGGTTTCATCTTCCCTGCGGTCTGGTGCCTTTTTCGTTCGCCTCGACTTCAGGAAGAAGAGGAGAATGCGCTGTGGGCAAACGTACAGAATATTGACAATCCACTTACCCCCTGGCCCGAGGTCTACTGCCAGTATGTCAGCCTTCCTATCTATACAAAGTAATTAATAATGGAAAACAGACGAAGAAGAGTCATTTTCATAGGAAGGGTCCAGTTACTCTGAGTTCAAATGGTCCTCTGAAAATCCCTTAAATTTTCCCCGATAGATAAGTCAACCACGCTCAAATTATGTACAATGATAGATGGGTGCTCACCGACTGGTAACGGGACTCACTCCTCCAGTAGTGTCTTGTGACTCCTCCTCGATCCTTGCCAGCAGCTGCATGGCATTACCGACAAAGACGAGGGAGTCTGAAAAAGCTGTTTCTGCAAATAGAGGTGAATATGCGAGTTCTAGGAAACAGTTCAAAAGAAAGAGATACGAACACTGGAACAAGGGATTTATTGTCCTGACGTTTCGGATTCCGCCGCGAATTCTTAATCATATGTAATGACATCATAGCCATAGTCATGCACAGATAGGGTTGAAACATGCACAGCTTGCACGGTATTTATAGTTTGTGGCGGTCATCTGCGTGCGTACGATAATTATTCACTTCGGTAGCCACCGCTTTGGTCTTAGTTGGTGCAGTACTGGCTTGACACTTCGCGTTCGACTCATTGATTGCCGTAGCTTCCTCCGTGTTGGATGCGGGCTTGGTAATTGCGCGACAGTTATGCTCGTTGTCGTCCGAGTTGTTGTTGCTGTGCCCGCCTTTCCCACCTGACTGATTTTCTTGCTCAGGGAATGTCTCAGTACGCAATATGGGAACGCCAAATCGTTGCGCTTGCTGATGGACTGGGGGCCTAAGAACCATGATTCGAGCAGTTCGCGGCTCACGCGAACATGCAGCGATAGTGCGGAAGAAAGACGCCAACTCCTAGTTTGCAGCTCACTCGACGGGGCCCGGTCATATTATCGAATTTGACGAGGCCGAAATCCTCGCAAGAGGTGACAACCGCGTGAGCCGCGA